CCCCCAGCCACACTCTGTTGCTGGTCGAGTGCCTCCCCATCAGCTCACACCCCGCTCTGAGGGAGGCATATTACAGCTGGAAAGCTGAGAACGCATGTTCAGTGAACACTCCCGGGCAGCAGGCTCATGCCTGGCCTTCCAGGGCTCTGTCTCCCCTCATCCAGAACAAGGGAAAACAAATTCAGGAGGGTCGCCTGTGCAGGATCCCTGGCTGCGGGAGGCTTGATGAGCGCCGTCCCCAAGAGAGGTAGCTTAGGCCGAAATGCTCCGCTTGGCCCCAGGGAGGCCTGCTCAGGCCTCTCGGGCATCATCGTCTCCCTCTGAAGTGCTTCTGGGCTGATAAATCACCTCTGTCATTGGTCACCTCTCTCCAGAGCAGGATCCTGACCCTTGACTGAGGAACCATCCAGAGAACATGATCAAGCCGGAATGAAGGGCCGAGAGCCCCCCAGGCAGGAGTGGTCTCAGGGCAGGCTGATCTGGGGGTTCTTCAGGAAGAGGGCCAGCTTGTGGGCCACAGCGTCCAGTTCGCTCGGGCTGGCGCAGCGCAGGAGGTTGGTCGTGGGGACGAAGTAGTGTTTCAGAAAGCGCTGGCTCACACACTTGTGCAGTTTCCTCACCAGGCGTAGAAACGCTTTGCCGACGTCCTGCCAGTCTTTGGAGTGGGGATATTTCTCACACGTCCAAAAGAGCACTGTCTAGGGAGGGAAGGAGCGGTGTCAGACTTCGATTCTGGCAAGCCAGGAGAGTGTCTTCAGGGACCATGACTGCACTTAGATAGCCTTGGCAGGAGGGACAAAGGAATTACCCAGGCCAAATGGAATCTGCCAGGAATTCGTGATCCCAGCCTCGGCCTTGCCCAGCTGGTCTCGGGCACCTCCGTGTGAATTTATTCTCTCACGCTCCTCTGACATGCTCAACAGTCGCCACTCTCCTGAAAGCTCTAATGCCCCACTGATGGCAGAGGCCTTTTTCTCCTACATTATGGGGGAAATAAAAACTCTCAACCTCCCCAAGCTAGACAGTTCTGCCTACATGGGCCCCTCCTCTGCTCCTCTCTGCACCCACCATTCCCCCTACCTGGGGCCACTCCCGCCACAAAGCACAAAGTCCACCTTCCAGAAGCCGTGCAGGGCTGGTCACTTGCCCTCAATGGTTTTTCAGCCTGTTTACGATGCTTCTGCTCCCCAAGCCCCCCATCTCCCTCCTGCCCTCTCCCTGCAGATCGAGGCTTCGGAGAGTCAGCTCTGTCCTTGGTTACCAGTTCCTCTCCTCCCATTCTCTGCCTTGAGCCACTCCAGTGTGGATTCTTCCGCTGCTAATCCTCATATGCCATCCAGCGGAGTTCCGTGTTTCCAGATCGCTCAGGCCTTTTTCAGCCTTCCCCTTCCCTGACCTTTCAACAGAGCCTGTGCTCTCATCCATGTGTTCCCTCTGGAGCCATTCTTCACTTGCCAGTCCTCTCTCTGGGTTTTCTCCTAGTGTTACGACTGCTCGCTGGCAAGCTACTCCTTTTTAGTGGTCTCTAAATGTGGACCTGGAGGCTCAGTTCTGGGCCTTCCTTTCCAGCTCTACACCTATTCCCCAGCTGTTTCTCCCAAACAATGACTTTAATCCCCCTCAACATAGTGCATTCTTACCTTTTCCTCTAGCCCAGATGTCTCCTCTGATCTCCTATCTAAGAGATATCTCTTGGATATCTAAACATTATCTCAGTTTCAGCATGTCCAAACTGAACTCGGATTTCCCTCACAAACCTGATCTGCCTCCAGAGTTGCTGATCCAGTGAGTGACTCAAGACACACACCTAGGTGCGACCTTCTCCCTCACTATCCCAGCCAAATCCTGCCAATCCTCCTGCCTAAGAATATCTCAAATTTACCCACCTATCTTCATCTCCAACATGACCATTCTCTTCCACACTGCCACCACCTGTCACCTGGACCTCTGCCACAGCCATCTCACCAGTCTACACCTCTCCTTGGCACCATCGAACACGGTCACCATTCATATCACATCTCTTTGAAATGTAAATCCACACCTCCTTCTTATCTAAAATCCTTCAAAGTCTCCTCATTGTTGGTTAACATAACAATCCTTAATATAATTTGTTTGTTTTGAGAGAGATTTTTGCTATAGGTTGTGTGCACTCACCAGAGAGAGAGATGGAGACAGCAAGAAATCACACACACACCCCCCAAAGGGATGACCACGCCACAATCCCTTCTTCTCCATTCTCCTCTCAGGATTTTGGACATGCACACACGTGCATCTGGCATGATTTCAAGTCTCTGGGTCCAGGACTCAAACAGCAGTCAACTAAGTGAGAGTCCAGCACCTTAACCACTACACTACCCGTTGGCCCCCATAGTTTGTTTTTTAAGGTCCAGTCCCTATCTTCTTTTCAGCCTCATCTTGTCCCATGTTCTCCCCCTCTAGGATATAGGCCTCATTTCCTGCTCTCTTCTACCACAGGGCCTTTGCACAGTCTATGCATAAAACACTTTCTTCCCTTCTTTGTCTAGGACACTCTCTCATGAGATCCAACTTCTCTACTATACCCATTACACTTTTTCTTAGTGGTGTACTTCTTATATAACACAACAATGACAGCGGTAGTTTTTGTATTTGCATGATTACTTGACTTTCTTACCTCCCCTAATAGACTATAAATTTAATAACAATAGTGGACTACATTTAGTTTTAGTCACTATTATGTCACTAGTCCCTATCAGAGGGACCAGCCCACGAGAGGCAGTCAATAAACATTTACTAAGCAAAGGGATAAATTAATCATTGTGCTGTTAATCATTATTATTATGGTTTAGTTGTTGAGTGCTTTGTATTCAGTCTTTCTTTCAAGAGCAGCTGTAGGTTCATAACAAGATATTGAGTATTTGTTGATTTATGTTCAAAGAAATGAGTCAGACATCATTTCATGCTAGTCAAGATAACCTAGATACCATACAAAGTGCTAATTTCTCTTGGTTGTTAAGCTTTTTATCTCCCTAAACAAACTAAAGCAATAAAGCCACTTATAGTTAAGCCCATATACTTTGGAGTGGGTTTCAGGAATAAATGAGCCAAAGAAAGACCAGCTCTCGCTCCACATGAGACAATCTTTAAGGAGGCGGGAAGGACCCTCTAAGACGGGGTCAGACTTAAGGTAGGGTGACTTCGAGTGCCACATCCTTCCTGATGCTGTGTTCAACCCAACCTCTTTCACTTTCCCCCAGACTAAAGTTCCGGCAAGGATCCAACACACTGAGGCCATCATCTAACGTCTGACACCCTGTCACCAGTCACGGTTATTCTGAGAGAGTGAGCAACTGAATGTACGGGAATGCTGCCTGGGGACCAGAGATGGAAGACTGAGGAAAAGGTATTCCTGTTTGTCTCTCTCCTCCCCACACATCACCCCCTTTGTAACAACACCCTTGCTTGGCCCAGCGGTGATAGCACAGGTCAGCAAGTAGCACAGTGATCTGCAGTGACGAAAGCCATGCGCCCACTGTGGGTATGGATCCAGAGTTGACCTGAAACACACCCAGCATACATCCTAAGATCCTAACTAGCAAGAAGGCAAAGGAAGGGGATCATAACTGGACAGGAGCCTATCAAGGCTGTCTGCCTGTCTCTCTCTCTCTCTCCCGGAAAAAAACAATTTGAGATATAAATAAATAAAGGGACAAGCAGATGGCATAATGACTACATCACTGGACTCCCATGTAGTCAACCATGGTTCAAGTCCTGGACCCAGTGGCTTAAAATCATGCTGGGTGTGTGTGCGTGCGTGCCCCAAGATCCCGAGAGAAGAATGGCGGAGAAGGGATTGTGGCATGACCATCCCCCCGGGGGGTGATTTCTTGCTTTCTGTCTCTCTGTCTCTCTGTCTTTCTGGCAAGCACGCACTCCCTATAGCAAAAAATCTCTCAAAAATAAATAAATAAATAAATAAAAATAAAAACATCCACCCTTATTATGTATAATTCTATTTTGCCATGTAGTTGGGTCAGGAAGGACTGAAAAAGAATCTTTAAGGAGTTGCCTTAAAATCTCCAGGTGATTTAGGCACCTTTGGGACAGAAGTAAACCCCTGGGTGGAATGCAATTTTGAGAACAAGCAAGGGGCCCAGAGTCCCAGGATGGCTTATCCAATCTTGTCTCCAACGTGCGTGCCACTTCATGGTGTTTCCATCCATCTTAATGGAGAGGCGGTGAAGTCAACTATTAAGATGATGAGATTTTAATATGAGACAGACTGGAGTGTGCTCATTAGGGCTGCCTCTCCTACTGTGGCTTGGAGAAAGGCAAGTAAGAAAGAAGTGAATGCCACCCAAAAAGAAAAAAAAAAAAAATCAAATTATTTTCTGAAAGCATGTGCCCTTTGTTCCAGGAGAACAGGTTGTGTGTTTTTAGGGGAACATGTTTGGTATCATGTTGAGGATGTTGAAACTCCAGCAGAATTCTCCAATGTGTGCAAAGAGATTCAGATGCAATTGTTCAGTCTCCTTTAACATGTTAAGGAGGGGGGGAGTACTAAAAATATTTTTTTAAAAGGGTATCACATGTGAGATTTGGAACTGCATTTTGTGTTTTAAACACCTCTAAGGAAGTTTGACATTGTCTTGGACTTTTCAGGATAAAATAAAATGATTTGATACACTATAACGATTAAAAAAAAAAAAACAGATTCTTGGGTAGCTCAGGGAGGATAGGTTATCAGAAAAGATAAAGAAGCAAAGAAAAGGCTGGTGATTTTGTGTAAGAAAGAAAAATTGGGGACCAGCAGTTAGCGTAATGGCTATGTCACTGGACTCCCATGTAGTCGACCGCGGTTTGAGTCCCAGACCCGGTGGCTTAAACTCACACTGGGCGCGTGTGCGTGTGTGCCCAAGATCCCCAGAGGATAATGGGGGGGGGAGGGATTGCAGAGTGGCCATTCCCCCTGGAGGGTGATTTCTCGTTTTCTGTCTCTCTGTCTTTCTCTGTCTTTCTGGTGAGCGCACACTCCCTATAGCAACCCCCCTTCCCCAAAGAAAAAAGAAAGAAAAATTGAGTAAGATTCAATTCATTCATTCATTTATTCGACAGATATTTCCTGAGCCACATGTACAAAGTCTTGGGAGAATTGCTGGGGGTTGGCAGTGAACTAGACCAGTGTGGTGTTTGCCCTGAAGTCGGTTACTTTATAGAAAGAGTAGCAGGGCCTAGAAGACCGTTTCACCCGTCAAATGAGAGCAAGCACGGGAAGGCACCAACCAACGATGGCTGCCCCAAGGACCTGAGTTGGCCTGTGTAGAAAAGCACCCTTTCCTTCCTGGGGTCAGAGAGAAAAGCAAGCTCCTGGATGGACTAGCTAGGCTGGAGCTGTGGGGTCCTGCAGGGGTCCAACACCTCCCTGCCCATGTGCTGAACACTCTTACACGAGTCCAGTTCACTCAGTGTGGCTCACATCTTGAAAAAGAGGGAGTCAGGAGTGTGACCAAAGGCCACCTCTCCAGGGAAGACCCCAGCCCCGTCACTACTTTGTAGTGTTCCCCTTGCTGTGTGACTCCACAAGGGGAGTCTGGGCTGGTCTCACCAACGTCTATCTCTCTGCTAGACCAGAAACTCCATAGGAGCAGGAGGCACATCTGTTTGCTCATGCTTGTTCCTCCGGGTGTGCAGCACACAGGTACTAGGGTACTCTATAGGTTTCCTGCAGATACTGTAGCCCAGAGTATTGTCAACCGACATTTGCCGAATGCACGAGTGAGTGAGCAAATGCATTAATGAATGCATGATGTTGGGTTTGCGGCTACTGGAGGTAGACGCTGGCAGAGCAAGGGCCAATTCTGGCCTATGACTGGGAAGATCCAAAGCCTGATTTACTGCAATATCTGTGCAGCAGCTTCAAGAACCCCTGGATTTCCCTCTGCATGTAGCGTATCTGTGTATGCACAAACAGTTGCACTTGGACTTGAGTGGGAGAAAACACAGCTTTGTCAAAGGCTGGAGCAGAAACCACACCGTAGCTCACTTTGGAACCTGAGCAGGGTTTCCAGTATGTAGTGGGCACTTGTGTTGGTCTGTCGAATGAAATATTGCTAGAAAGAGGTGAAGGGCAGAAGGGTAGAGGGTGGATGAAGCCAGATGGTGGCATAGTGGTCAAAGGTGATGTATTGTAAGGCTGACCTGTGAAGGAAGGCTCTGGGTTTGTGTCTGGAGACCTCCCTGAGTGCACCAGGCACATGCATGCCCATGATCCGGGTTGGCTAAAGCTGGAGGTGGATTTCTGCATCAAGACCCACTTAGGGGTACTATCTCTCTGTTTCTCCCACTCATGGGAGAAATAAGTAAGTAAATTTTCAGTTTTGTTTTTAGAAGAAGGGGTGGTAGAGAAGATGTGTGTGTGTGTGTGTGTGTGTGTGTGTGTGTGTGTGTGTATGGAGAGAGAGAACCTATAAGAGGGAAAGGAAAGAGGCAGAGTTTACCTGAACAGGAATGTTGTGTCCATACCTGCAACTGAAGTGTATTACATATTTCCACAGTGAGTAATACTTTGTGGGATGGCAAATTTGAAGACTAGAGCTCTATCCTGAGTTGACTATGGACACACACACATGCACACATGTGCACACACGTGCCCCTTCTGAGTGGTTCTGGCCCCCTCCAGAGGCTACACAGGGGAACCACCTAACCACAGTTGCCCAGACCCTGCACCCCCGTGCCCACACTCACCTGCAGATGGCAGGACGTGATAACCGGTCTCCGCCCCGGGCACCACACGTCCTCTTTGAGCTGTCTCAAGACCTGAAGACACCTCCTGCGGCAGCCCCCGTCTTCATCCAGCTGTTCTAGCAACACCCGCTCGGCCCGCAAGAAGCTCAGCTGCCAGTGATAACTTGAATAGGCCAACAAGTTATACCCAAATGACTGGAAGAAGAGAAAAATATTGGGAAGATGAGAAGGGCCATACTTGTCGAAGTCGAATGACATTTCCGAAGCAGCCCGCTAGTCTAGGGAGTCTGTCACTGGGCAGGCAGGCCGTCTTACATGGGGACAAGAGGAGGGGTGTAGGGAGCCCACAAACCACCTCGCATGTGGATGGTAAAGGGCAGGGAGCTGTGTCCACTTCCTCTCCTGCAGCAGTCCTGCAGCCTGAGCCAGGGTCAAAGTCGTGGGAGGCTTGTTAAAGCGCAGATTGTTGGGCTCTGCCCACAGAGTCCCAGTCAGCAGGTGCAGTGTGTGGTCCGAGAATCTAAATTTCTAGCAAGTTCTCAGGTGCCACTGCTGCTGGTCTGGGACGCGTGCATTAGAAATCACTGATCTAGTGAGGCCTCGACTCCCCTTCAGAAACTGGCTACCAGTCAGTGAGTGCTGTGATTGATTAAGCAGTGAGGTTCCTGTTCTGGTGAGCCGGGGTCCCACGCCCCCCAATACCTTGATGCACTCCACTCTGTCTGGGGAAGGCCAACGCTTCAGACATCGAGGCCACTGGGCTTTCCTGGACCAGGCCCTGTGGATCTCCACTGTGGGGACCAGCTCTAGCTCCACTTGACATGTGGATGTTTCCATGGCAACCCAAACAGCAGAGCGGTGAGTTAGCATTCTGACCTTGCCTGATGGGAAATGACCAGAGACCATGAGGTAAGAAAGCTTTGCTCAATACAACTCACTGAAGGAGTTTGCAAGCAGGTGCACGTACCAGCTCCTTGCAACAGGTAGGGCAACTTTCATAATGCCAATGGCACGTCAAGGATGGGGGCGTTTACATGAAAACCAGACTGCAGTTAGAGCAGTAGTAGAAAATCTCATTGTCAATGGATTTTTAGCTCCACCTTCCACCATTCGGCCCTTTATGGTACCTTTTCTTTTAAATTAATGGATTGTTTTGAGAAGGCCCATCTGAAAGAGCCATAGAATAAAACATAAACGTATGGTATTTGCCACTGTAAAATAAAATCGAACCATTCCTCAATATCCTTTTCCTTTTCACTGAAACACCTAGAGAGTGGCTTTCAGAGCGATGCAAACATACAGAAGGCCAATGCCATTTTTCTTTTCCTTCCTTCCCTTTTTTTTTTTTTTTCTCTTTGCCCAGGTGTTCTGGTAAAATTTTATTAAAAATTTTTCCAGATTTTTGCCTTAGGTCAGGTGCCCTCTCCAGAGAGAGAGACAGACACAGTGAGAGGGAAAGTGAGAACATCACCCCCCCCACCAGAGAGACAGACAGAAAGCAAGAATCACCCCCCGGGGACATGGCCACACTGCAATCCCTTCTCCTCCATTCTCCTCCTGAGATCTTGGGCATCCACACACGCATACCCATTTTTAAGCCACCCGATCTGGGACTCAAACCATGGTCTGTCATGTGGGAGTCCAGTGACATAACTGCTATGCCATCCGGTGGTCTCAGTTCTGATGATTTAAGGACAACTTCTGTCCTCTTACTCACATGCCTTTGATGGAGATTCAGCTTAACCTGCCCAATATCTGAGTCAAAGTCTCTTAGATAGTATTTGTTTCTACTATTCACTAAGCCAGCCTAGCCTCAGATGTCTTCATCATCACATGCCCTGTAATTATAAAATACTTCAAAGCATGTCACTGCCAACGTTTTAAAGGGTCAACTGAGTGAAAAGAAGCCCCCACAGCCTTACTTCCCAGGCAGAGAGGTGAGAAAATAAATGCATCTGGTAAATTTATCTAGCTCATGTACTAGAATTTTCTCCTCTCTAATTTGCTTCCCCTTCTTTCAAAAGCAACTAGAGTTTTTGTTTGTTTGTCTTCATTCGAGATGACGATGAGCTGTTTTGAATTGGAATCTGTGATTTTGCTTTTCTTTGGTCAGAGAACATGGAAGCTCATTTATTGTGTTAGGTTATTCAAAAGGAAAACATCTCTCTCTTTAGCTGGGATGTGATAAAGGGCTTATTGTCTGTGTCTCATCAGAGCCGCCCAGACAGGCACACGAGACATCTGGCACTTAGCATTATTTACTGAAAGCACCTTGTCAACCTGGCCCAGTTTGAATCTCCTATTTGCACTTTCACTGTTAATGTCACCGAGTGTCAGAGGCAAGCAAACGCTGCTGTCAGCCTGTGGCACACCCTGCTCCTGCAGCTCACTCTGACACTGGGTGTGGAGCCTCCGCCAAGTTACTTAATCTAGGTCTCAGTTTTCTCATCTATAAAATAGATAGGAACTTTGTTTTTTATTCTATAGGGTTATGATGAAGTTTAAATGAAATAATCCCGGAAAACATTTTTTATATAGTACAAATTAATTAAATAATTGATTCAAATAATTACCATTATGGAACCTTTCTGAAGAATTCTGTCTAGAGGAGCAAATGTACTTAACAATGCATCCTTGTCTCTGTATACATATGCAATCTCAGATTGTTCGGCAGTTTTTGTTTTTGTTTTGTTTTGCCATAGGGGGCATGCACTCATCAGAGAGAGACACAGACAGTGAGAGAGAAAGTGAGAAATCACCGTGCGCCCCCTCTGCTCCCAGGATGGATGGTCACACTGCAATCTCTTCTCCTCCATTCTCCTCCTGGGATTTTGGGCATGCACACATGCACACGCACCCACTATGATTTTTAAGCTGCCAGATCCAGGACAACCATGTGGGAACCTGGCACCTTAACCACTACATCACCTGCTGGCCCCAGCAATTAGGTTTTTCACTTAATTCCCTCACATATGCACTTTTCGTAGCTCCGAGTGTGTGCCCGCAGGTACACTTGTGTGCCACATTCTTTTTAAAGGCTGCAGAGTAGTTCGTGGGCAGAGGCTGATCATTTATTTAGCCAACTTCCCTTTGTGAGACACTAAGATCATTTTTAGTTATTTACCATTGTAACACTCATGGCAGAGGATATCCTTGTGCATATATTTTTGCGTATTTGTAGAATGCAGGTGGTGTGGTGGTTAAGGTGCTAGACACTTCACATGGCTGACCACAGTTCGAGTCCCGGACTGGTGACTTGCTTTCTCACTTTCCTCTCTCTCTCTCTCTCTGTGTCTCTCTCTGGTCAAATTAAAATAAATGAATGAATAAATAAAATTATAATAAATAATCCTTAAAAATAAATTTATAGAATTAGAATTGTTGAACTCTAAAGTACCCACATTAGGAAAATAAAAATGGACAAATTACCCTTAAAAAGAAGGCACCGGGAACCAGCAGTTAGCGTAATGGCTATGTCGCTGGACTCCCACATAGTTGACCGCGGTTCGCGTCTGGACCCGGTGTCTTAAAACTCACGCCAGGCGCGTGTGCATGTGTGCCCAAGATCCTGAGAGGAGAATGGAGGAGAAGGGAGAAGGGATTGTGGCGTGACCATCACCCCTGGGGGTGATTTCTCACTTTCTGTCTCTATGTCTCTCTGTCTGGCAAGCGCACACGCCCTATAGCAAAAACCTCTCCAAAAAAAAAAAGAAGGCACTAATTTACACTTCTAAGTATAATATACAAAAATGCCCATCTCACCAGGCCTACCCCTATATTGAACATGGTCACACTTTTTACCTCCACCCTTTGGTTGGGTATGTGAATGTACATAGATGAAATGTCTTTTCTTATTTTATTCTTTTCCTGTGATCTATTTTGTTCTTGTTCTTGTTGTTCTTTATTTTTATTGGCCAGCTCATTTAATTCTTTTTCTTATTTTCTTATAAACTATTTTTTTCTAGTTAAGGGAATCGGCCACTTTTTTCCAGTTTGAAATTCACCTTTTCACTTTGTGTGAGTATAAAGGGTGTGTGTGTGTGCGTGCGTGCACACATGCATTTGCCACACTGCACAGCAGCTTAACATGTCGGCTTTGTCAAACTTAGTTCTCCATGGCGTCTGGATTTTGCGTTTTGGTACAAGTTGGTGTCATCTCAACATATCAAGGTACTGCAGCCAGGGGGAGACTGTTATAGGAGGAATATGCTAGCAATGAAGACAGGGGATTTGAGAATCATTTGGGGTTGGGGGGAAGGTTTAGAGAGAGATTTTTGCTATAGGACACATGTGCTCACCAGAGAGACAGAAAGTGAGAAATCACCCCCCAGGGGGGATGGCCATGCCACAATCCCTTCTCCTCCTCCTCTCAGGATTTTGGGCACGCACGCACACACACCTGGAATGAGTTTTAAGTTGCCAGGTCTGGGATTGCACCCACAGTCAGACACATGGAAGTCCAGTAATGTAACCATTATGCCACCTGCTGGTACCTCATGTGCTTTTTTAAAAAGTGCACCTCAGTTTTTTTTTTTTTTTTGAGAGGTTTTTCACTATAGGGCGCGTGCGCTCGCCAGACAGACAGAGAGAGACATAGAGACAGAAAGCGAGAAATCACCCCCCAGGGAGGATAGTCACGCCACAATCCCTTCTCCTCCATTCTCCTCTCAGGATCTTGGGCACACACGCACACGCGCTTGGCATGAGTTTTAAGCCACCGGGTCCAGGACGCGAACCGCTGTCAACTACGTGGGAGTCCAGCGACATAGCCATTACGCTAACTGCTGGTTCCCCAAAAGTGCACCTCAGTTTTTAAGCAAACATCCTGGAAAGGGTGCTCAACCCACAGTCTATCACACCTATGCAAGAGCAGAAGTCTACTTAAATCCAGGGGAGTGTTTGTAAGTATGAATTCCAATCTTTTATGTGTCACAGCAGGGTAATTCATATTATGGATCTTGAACTGAAATGCAGAGCACATAAGGATTGTCTCAATTTAGGGGCGTGGGTTTCAGGTAGTCCCAAAATTTAAGTGTTACTTTTTTTAGAACAAAAGAGAAATACCCACAGCTTCCCTTGTGCTTTTCCTGATCAGCTCACCTGAGAGGTGGCAGGTTGTCATTGCGTTTTCTACCAGCTTCCGGAACACCTGGAGGACCTTAGCAGGCACAATGTCTCCCTCGATGTTCACATCTGCCTCGTGCCACTGCCACAGGGTCTTCATAAACTGCTTCACCTCCAGCCACTGCTGCAGGCCCTCTGGGCCTCTCAGGGGGCAGGGAAGCCTGGAGCCCTGCAAGGTGTAGTACCGCCAGCGCTGCTCCCGGGCCTCGCTGTACCCGGCCAAGCCTCTCAGTGGGACTGTGACAAAGAACTGGCTGGGGGCCAAAACCTGCCATAAGGAAAGGAGAGATCATGAGCATGCGGGCACAGACTTGAGAGGTGACAGAAGTTCTTGGGGAGCCAGCCTGTCGAGCCAGGGACCTCACTTGACCATGCAGCCCTCAGCCATGTGGCGAGGTAAGCAGAATACTAGATCTGTGTGTTGCAAGAGGATTACATGTTTGTCCTGCTACTCACCCACTGCAATGCTTCAGGCAGGTATATTAACTTGTAGAGGTTCTATTTTCACAAATCTACAGGTAAAAAAGTGCCTAGGTCTAGAACTCTAGAGGGACCCTAAAGTTTAGGTGGAGCCAAAGAGTGGGGAGAACAAACTAGTACTCATTGAGTGCCACACATAAGAAGTCCTGCCATTCTGGGAACCAGAAGTTAGCGTAATGGCTATGTCGCTGGACTCCCACGTAGTTGACTGCAGTTCGCGTCCCGGACCCGGTGGCTTAAAACTCACTCCGGGCGCGTGTGCGTGCGTGCCCAAGATCCCGAAAGGAGAATGGAGGAGAAGGGATTGTGGCGTGACCATCCTCCCTGGGGGAGTGATTTCTCACTTTCTGTCTCTATGTCTCTCTCTTTCTGGCGAGCGCACGCGCCCTATAGCGGAAAAAAAAAATCTCTCCAAAGAAGTCCTGCCATTCTCAGGCATTCGCTATCTGATCCTCGCCATCCTACAGTGAGGTAGGTTTCGCTGCCATTTCCCAGATGAAGAGAAGCTTAGAGGTCGCCCTAGGAACACACAACCCGGAAGTGGAACAGCCAGAATTCGTGTTTAGGTCTTTTAATTGCTCATTCAATGGTCCTTTTCCTACCCTGGGGTTGGGTCTTAATCAAGAATGAGTGACCTACAGGTCAGTATTGGCCTGCTGGTTGAGAAAACTGGATCCCAATTGGCTGACCATGTGGTTTGAGTCCCAGCCCCATCAGTCTGAGAAACACACCGGCTGAGTGTACATACATGCCCAGAATCCCAAAAAGAAGATGAAACAGAGAAGGAACCACAGCATGACTATGCCCTTGGGTGTTAGGGGTGCTTTCTCACTTTTCCCCTCTCTCTCTACTAAGATCACATGCCCATCTGTAAATTTAAAAACATAAAAGGACAGCAACAACAAAGAATGATTTGTAATGGGTGAAAAGTCGAGGGTAGGAAGAGGTGAGAAAGGAGGTGAAAGAATTCTGTTAAATGCCTGCATTGTCTTTTTGACTACCTGATGACCCATGGCCGGTATTAATGACCAGCCTTTCAAAATCCAAGGCGAAATGAAAGCCTGTTTGTTTGGATAATGTGAGCTACTGCGGTGAGTCCAAGTTTAAGAAAAAAACAATCCACCTACGTCCTTTCTACAGGAACCAGTAAAGCAGTCATCAAGGGGAGGAGGCCAGGCCAATAGTCCAAGGGATAGAGCGCACTGGCAACAGCCCGATAGTGTCAAAGGGACCTTGAACTTTGTCACGAAGCAGCCCATTCCACACTGCACCTTCACCTACCACTCAGTTACTTCCTCTTCAAGGAAAATTCTAACAATGGAATTTGGTTCATCCTTGCCCAGGGCCCAGTACTGCCCCTACAACTCAGGAGTGAACACCAAAATCAGCTCCAATTATTCCTGCTTCACTCTCAGAGAATAATAGTTTAATATACATATGTAAACTATTACTTTACATAATAGTTTACATAATGTGTGTATACATATGTGCGTATGTGTTTAAATTATACATGTATGTGATGTATAATATATAAGTGATATGTACGTATGTGATATGCATAAATGTATGATATACCTTATAAGGTATGTATGTATGTATGTATAATATATAAATTATATACACATATGTGTATATATACACGTGCATGTTTTTCTATGCAAGAATGCATCATGACTTTCCCAACGACTCAATATAACATTCATACATATCTATGTAGCTATTGTCTGTGTGTATTTATATAAAACAAAGGGTGTGTGCTTTCCAGAGGCAGAAAAAGGGAGAAAATACCCTCCCCCATGGGTGCCACAGTCCCTTCTCCTCCATTTCTCCATCCTATCGGGATTTTAGGTATGCATACTTACCTAGAGTGTTTTTCAAGCCACTGGGCCTAAGATTCAAACCATGGTTGGTCATGTGGGATCTGGCTTTCTTAATTGCTAGGTTAAGGGACCAGACCAGTACTTCTGCTTCTTTAGGGATGAGTCTGATATAACCTCTGGTATTCATAAAGAGAGGAAAATAATCTAAGCTATGAAATTCGAATTGTACCTACTTGCACGTGAATTCAAGAGCACAACTATGATGTCGCTAGTCATATAAAGGTGCTTGATAAGTGCTTGTTGACTTGGATCCAAGATAAAATAAAAGTAATTTTTACTTGTTACATTGTAACTACTTTCAGAATTTAATACACAAGGCATGAAATATACAGAGATATATAAATATAGACATAGTTGTGTGTGTGTGTGTGCATGTGTGTGTGTGTTTTGCCATAAGGCACACATACTCACTGAGACAGAAAGAAGGAAAGTGAGAAATCACCCGCCAAGAAGGATGGCTGCACCACAACCCCTCCTTCTCTCTTCTCCTCTGGGGATTTTTGGCATGCATGGATACAGGCCCAACGTGATTTTCAGGCCTCCGGGTTGGGATTCAAACTGCTGTAGGTCATGTGGGAATTCAGCGCTTTAACCACCTGCCAGCCCCAACACAGATACATTTTTAAGCTATGAATTCTTGGTAGGACCACAGAAGGAAATCTCCTTAGGTATAGCTCTTAAAAAAAGTGATGTTATGATTCTTAGTCCTACAGAAAGAGTCATCAAAAAGTTCACAGAAAATACATACATTGAAAAAACTATGCATGGATTTCTAAACTTTTTGTACCAAAATAAGTTTATAATTTAACTCCAATTCATGTCAACTTTTTGAAGTCCTTTTTTTATTTTTCCAATATAGATTGGTCTGAGGTGGCAGCATTGGTGGGCAATGTTCTGACATTTCAGGATCAAATCATGTTTTACAGTTATATCCTGAAATTTCCCAAGATCTGACTCTGTCTCAAACCCACAAGTCCCAGGGCCAGCAGGTGGTATGGTGGTTGGGGCACTAGACTCCTACATGACCGACCATGGCAGCTTGCTTTCTCACTTTCTCCCTCACTCTCTCTCCCTGTCTCTCTGGTAAGCATGAATGCCCTACAGCAGATTAAAAATAAATAAAATTAAATAAGTAATTCTAAAAAAAAGATCCCCAAGTCCCGGGAACTTATGGGTGGTCCTCATATCTACCAACCTTGTGATACACGGGGTATTTTTTTTTTCTAAGACTAGATATCACTTTATTGTCCAGGTGGGTCTTGAACTTGCAACCCTCTTTCCTCAGCCTCCCATGGAGCTGGGATTACAGGCTTGTGTCACTGCACCCAGATTGGTCTTTTGTTCAGGTACTAACTCTTTTGCTTATTCATTCAATATAAGTTGAGCATCTACCATCTGTCACATACCATGCAGGGCACTGGGAATGAAACAATCTGTAAATGTGTTCCTTACAATCAAGAAACTTCTGTCTTATGTGCAAAATAGAACATGAGCACATATAAATTTAATATACTGTGAAGGGATTCCTAGATATTCCTAAGAAAAAGGGAGATAGAAAATTATGAGGAGGGCCAGTCCATGGCATGACGATTAAGGCTGACCATGCACTTCAAGTCCCAGACCCCGTGACTTGAAAAACACACTGGGCACATGCGTGTGTGAGCCCAAGAGGAGAAGGGGTTGCGACATGAACACACCCCATGGGGGTGTGCATTCTCTCTCTCTGTCTCTGGCAAGCACAGGCACCCTCTAGCAAATTAAAAGAAAAAAAAATGATGAAGATTAAGAATGATTCAGAGTTTCATGTCTCTCATCTCAAATTTTAAAAAATAAAGAATGGGGGCTGACCAGTGGTGCGGTGATTAGAGGTGCTGGACTCCCACATGGTCGACTGCAGTTCGAGTAATTCTACTCTTAGGTATCTACTCAAGAGGATAAGAAAACCCTCAGTCAGAAAAACACTTGTTTATTGCAGCATTATTTACAATTTCTAGGACATGGAATCCCCTCAAATGTCCAAGAACAGATGCATGGATTTTAAAAATGTGGCACATTGTGACCAGCAGATGGTGTAATGGTTGGTTACATGACTGGACTCCCATATGGCTGACCATGGCTCGGGTCCTGGACTTGGCAACTTGAAACTCATGTCAGGTGCATGTGCGTGCATGCCAAAATCCCAAGAGGAGAAAAGAGAAGTGCTTGTGGTGTGGCCATCCCCCCTGGGGGGTGATTTCTTGCTTTCTGTCTCTCTGTCTCTCTTGTGAGTGCATGTGCCCCATAACAATAATCTCTCTTAAGGACCAGCAGTTAATGTAATGGCTATGTCGCTGGACTCCCATATAGTTGACTGTGGTTCGAGTCCCAGACCCAGTGGCTTAAATTCACACCAGGCATGTGTGTGTACGTGCCCAAGATCCTGAGAGGAGAATGGAGGAGAAGGGATTGCGGTGTGGCCATTCCCCCTGGGGCATGATTTCTCACTTTCTTCTCTCTGTCTCTCTCTCTGTCTTTCTGGCAAGTGCATGCACCCTATAGCAAAAATCTCTCTTAGAAAGAAAAAAAGTTTAAAAATGTGGCACATGTATGGAATACTATTCAGCTATAAAACACAATGAGATCCTTTTGGCCTGATTGTTTTGTTTTTCAGTCAAAATTGCGAGATAGGATGAGATTGGGTTATCTCACTGGGAAGGAACTGAGATAATAGAGAGAAAAGGGCCACTAAAATGGGAAGTGTCATTTCTTAATTGCTGTTTTTATGAGAAATCAGACTTCTTTAGCCATAGAAATAAAATACCAAGTATAATTAAAAATATATATATGATTTTTAAAAAAAAAGAGAGACACCCTGATATTTGACACAAGGAGGATGAATATGGAAGATTAAATGCTAAGTGAAGCAAGCCAACCTATTAAAAACAGGCATTATGGGGAACCAGCAGGTGGTGTGGTAGTTAAGGTGCTGGACTCTCTCTCTCTCTTTCTGTCTCTCTCTGGTCAAATTAAAACAAATAAAAAAATAATTTAAAAAAAAACAGACATTGTATGTCCCCACTCAATATATACTGAATGTTTGCCCTCTATGGCAGAAACTGAAGGATTGGAAGGTGTAATGAAACGGAGGGCAACTGGGGGTACTAGAGACAGGGTGGGAGGGGTGGGTAATACGGGATGGGAAATGGGGCTGCAAGGGCGGAGATCGGGATCACATTTAATAGACACAGCAATGAAAAGTTATTGGCTGATGATAACGTACCGGGTTGTCAGGAAAGTCACGATGTGTTTTTCTATGCCAAAATGCATCAGGACTTTCCAGACAACCCAATATATTGCAACACATGGTACTATCTTTGACTTGACTAATATGTACTGTATTCGCGCTGGGAGAAAATCAATTTGTACGTCATAAAGATGTACAGTTATTAAATGTAAATAAAACAATAAAATTAAAAATTTTTTTCTAATAAAAATAAAAATAAATAAAATGGAGATAAATATACTGTCTTTTCTACATGTTTATTTGCCTGTTTGAGTGAGATCATTTCCATGAGACTGGCCTTGTCCACATTACAATGGTGCATGAATGGTGGTTGTGACACACTGACCCTGGTGGCTTATATGGGGCTGTCAGAAAAATCATGACATACTTTTCTATGCAAAACCCAGTAGCTGGGTGGGATTCCTCAGCAAGGTGAGGGGCTGGTTGGCTGCTCCTGCAGTGTCTAAGGGCCACCGTGGCTACTTCTTCCTTCTCCTGTCTGTAACGCACAGATACCACTTTCAACTACTTTCTTAACAATGCTCTCTGCCCTGTCCCCAATCTATTTAATTTTTTCATAGAAAGCATTTTATTATCAGAACAGTATGGTTCCCTATGTTCAAGATCTATTTATTATATTATTTTTTACAAGTAGCAAAGTCCCTCCATATTTTTCCAGGTGAGCATACATTGATATGAAAGCTATTGGTTTCCACACTGCCTGCCCCACCCCCACTCGTTAGGGTTAATAGGAAGTTGTGGCCTATGTGCAGCCTCCTAAAGTAGCGATGGCTCCTCTTTAACTCAGTCTTGAACTCTAGCAGGCTACTCAGTCATTCTCTTGCTGATTTCTTTTCAGTTTAAGAAAATCTATTAAGTAGGTGTTTAATAAATAAATATAGTGCTTATCTGAGTTTAAATTATGGAAGGACCAGCAGATGGCATAATGGTTACAACACTGGACTTCCACGTAGTCTCACATGCCCAAAGTCTCAAGAGGAGAATGCAGGAGAAGGGATTGTGGCATGGCCATTCCCGTGGGGGGTGATTTCTTGCTGTCTGTTTCTCTCTGTGTCTCTGGCAAACACATGTGCCGAATAGCAAAAAATCTCTCTTACAAAAAAAAAAAAAGGTAACGTAGGATATGATTGGAACCAAAAGCCTAGGTGTGAGTTCTGACTGTAGTGCCCATTGTGAGGTACATACCAACAGAGGCTGCAGCAGTCCCCGTGCGGCAAGCCCTGTCCTATACCAATCGTACCCATCCACGCGCCCTGGCCCTGTAGCTGGGCCCTTGGGGACAAGTCTAACGTTGTTACCTTAATGTGCTCGTTGTATGTCTCAGAGTAAGGCACAGCTTGAAATCTAATGTCCTGGTTGCTGATTTCTGTGGTTAAACGGTGGATGACTCTCTGCACCTCCTCCACAGTCTGGGAAACCTGCTGGCGCCTCAAGTCCACCTGGGCGTGAAGGGATTAACAAAGGCAGTTATTTCCTGTGTGGGTCCCAAGACCTTAGCACCAGGAAGTGCTGAGACAGAGGGACAGTGATGGGTGACAGGAGCAGCTCAGCTCAAAAATCCAGCCCTTCAAAGGCCCCAGGGGAGATGAACTTGGGTCTGGGTCTGACTCCCACCGAGATGACACCAGTTGGTAGCTCAGTGTTCTCTTTTGGAATAGATGCATTCAGTATTTATTGAGAACCTACAACGGGGCAGGTGCCAGTCCAGGCACTGGGGAAACAACAGTGATTAAGGTAACAGCGATCAAGATAGAGACACTTGTCCTCTGGTTGCAAATACAGAATACACAAGGGGAAAAAGAAGGAAGCAAAACATTTAAGGGACCAAAAATGGAAAGAAATCTGTTGATTATACTATACACAGTAATGTCTTTGACTGGACTGATAGGCAGTGGATTCATAATAGAAAATTTATTTGGTATGCTATAATAACATGCAGTGATTAAGTGTAAAAATTAAAAATGAATAAAATCTTAAAAATAAAAACTTTAAAAAATAATGTACATACAAATGTATAAATGTGTGTGTGTGTGTGTGTAAAGTGTAAAATAGCAGGTACAGTAAGTAAGTGGCATGAAGAAAAATAAACTTATCTCTGGATAAGAGACCAGAGAATAAAAGGAGGTGACTGTTTAGGCAGAGTGCCAGGGAAGGCTCTCCTAAACAGGTGACATGGGAGGGAGTCGGGAAGGCAGTGAGGTAAAGCCGGTGTCAAGGTTCCTACAGCAGGGACATGCTTGGCAAGGCCCAGAGCCTGCAAGGAGACCATGGGAAGAGATGGATCTGGAAAGGACCGTGGGAAGATTATCACAAAGGTTTGAGTAAACCCTGGTGAGACTACAGATCAGCACAATAATGTCTGCACCCGGGCTGGAGAATGTTAAAGTTCAACGTGTGAAAACACCCAGCAGACTGCTTCCCACTTACGCCACTGATTGCCTCTGTGGCCTCCCCCTCCTTTTGCTAGGAGACCCTTCAGTAAAGGTATGCATTATGTTTCTTCTGACTCTGCACAGAAAACCACTGAGAACTAGAAACTCTCCAGAGAACACGGACCACCAATAAGACACTTAAAGTGTGGGGAAATAGGAGTTTGTGGGAAACACAAAGAAAGTCTCAGGAAACTCCAGGAGAGAGAATAATGCAAATGAAATAGGAATTAGGAAGAGTCTGCATCGCTCAGGAGGGACCTGCAGGCTGGGCTAGTGTCACCACAGCCAGGACCTCCTTCAGAGTCTCCTCCAGCCAGCAACTGCTTTTGAGCAATCGTTGATATACCTGAAACCATCGCCCACCCATGAATCTGAATATTTCTTCTGCATTTGGTATAATGGCTGTTTCTATATATTCTAGAGTAGTTTTAAGACACCTCTAAACTGGTTAAAACAGTCAGGAAAAAAAAAAAAAGCCAACTCAAAGAGATTGCCTGTGTTTTCCTGCCAAGTCATCAACTGGTCCAGTCACCGACATGGAAGTTGGACCTCCCACCAATCAAGTCAGTTACGGCTGTACACGCTCCCTGGAGGCACAGTCTACTAGAGCTATGTCTAGACAGAATTCAAGGAGTTAGCTAGGCAGAAGAGGGCATATGGTTGTTCCAGAAGGAGAAAATTGCTGGTATCTAGTCAGGCGAGAGGAGCACAAGAGGGGAAATGAGGTAATTCCTATGATATTGCTGGAGCAGAGATTGCCTTAGAAGAGGGTGGTCAGGTCAGAAAATAAACAGTGAAAGGTCTTGAAGATAAAGGAAGAAGAATTTCTAAAATGAAGCCAACAGTAAGTGGCTAAGTGAGATAAAGTTTGAAAACGGTGTGTAGAGTTCGGCAACGAGACACGGATTGACGTGCTCAGGTGGACACTAAGCGGTGGAGTAAGAGGAAACGGAAGATGAGCCAATAAAGAGAGAGGTAAATGACTCCTTTAAGAAGTTTGACTATGGCAAAAACACAACAGGATACCAACATCTGTCAAAATGACACACAGGCTTGAACATGTGTAAATGCTGAGAGGAGAGCCGGTGGAGGTTCTGCTGTGGTGACACAGGCAACGGGGCACTGCTACATGATGCTGGAGCCATAGAGGGAGGCCTGGGTTTGGTCCCAGGTCAGCCTGAACATACCAGCCTGCCTCCAAGCCTGGCCAGCCTGAGAGCTAGGGGGAGGTTCACTGCAGGAAAGCCCAGCCAGGTGTCCCACCATTCCCCACTCTCTTCTCTGTATCTGCTCCATCTTGTCAGGGGTCCCTGTTGTAAAGAATTCACAAGAAAATGGACAAGAAAGGGCTCATAAAGAGGGCCTAAGATGAGCCTTATCTAAGGAAATAAGTCAACTTTCTCAGTGTAAGGGCCCAAGATAAAGACTCCTCACAACCCTCCACCTCAAGATAAGCTTTTTTGGGGGGGTGGGGGTGGGGGGGAGAGAGGTTTTTGCTATGGGGCATGTTTTACAACAGGAAAGAGATATTCTGGGATGCCCCTTTGGCACCACTTCCGGCAATCGCCTGAGGCTGACAGACGCTCTGCGTTCCTGAGAAATGACCACCTCCTCTGGCCCGGAGCTTGCAGAGTCTGTCCTTACCCTACCCGTGTGATTGAGACCACCAAAAGGAAACCCTCCCCACAAAAAGACACACACCTGTTCAGGTCGTGCCTGGCGTATCTTGTCCAATCTCTCTGGGTGCTCTCACCTGTGCTCTGAGCTCTACTAATACTACTGAGTTTCTGCTCATGCTCACGTTTCTGTCTCTAGTAAATTCTCTTCCCACCAGTGCAACAGCCCTACTACCCTACAGCCCCACTGTTCCTGTCTCACTTCCTCAATAAATAAACAGTTAAAAAAAAAAAAAAGAGGGGATCAACCCATGGCATGGTGGCTAAGGCAACTGGATCCCAAATGGTTTGGCACCACTTCCGGCAATCGCCTGAGGCTGACAGACGCTCTGCGTTCCTGAGAAATGACCACCTCCTCTGGCCCGGAGCTTGCAGAGTCTGTCCTTACCCTACCCGTGTGATTGAGACCACCAAAAGGAAACCCTCCCCACAAAAAGACACACACCTGTTCAGGTCGTGCCTGGCGTATCTTGTCCAATCTCTCTGGGTGCTCTCACCTGTGCTCTGAGCTCTACTAATACTACTGAGTTTCTGCTCATGCTCACGTTTCTGTCTCTAGTAAATTCTCTTCCCACCAGTGCAACAGCCCTACTACCCTACAGCCCCACTGTTCCTGTCTCACTTCCTCAATAAATAAACAGTTAAAAAAAAAAAAAAAGAGGGAGTCAGCCCATGGCATGGTGGCTAAGGCAACTGGATCCCAAATGGCCAACTGCCTAGTTCAAATCCCAGACCTAGCAGTTTGAGAAACACACCAGGTACACGTACATGTGTGCCAAAAAAATCCTAAAAGAAGGGAGGAGAAGGGATTGCTGTGTGCGTGACTATGTCCCATGGTGGGGAGTAGTGCTTTCTCACTTTCTCTCTCTCTTTCTCACTCTCTGTCTCTCTCCAGAGAGCACATAAACCCTCTAGCAAATTAAGAAAATAAATAAGACTTTACATAGCATTTGGCCTTTAAGGAAAAAATGAAGAAGAAGGAAAGGAAGGAAAAAGAAGGAAGGAGTCTGGAAAAGGAAGAGGCAGCAGAGTGAAACCATTGTGTAAGGATTTCCCAGCTGCGAGGAGTCTTACAAACCAGAAAGCTGGGCAGGTAATTCACCTGGCGTGTCAGAAGGAAGCACAGCAAGATGGAGCAGATACAGAGAAGAGGGTGGGGAATGGTGGGAATCAGAGAGCTTTCCTGCCTGGTGTCTGTTTTCTCTGTAGAGTAGGACACAGGCAATGTCACGAGGGTGAGGTGGGGCGGTAGAAGGTAGGGAACTTCAGGTGACAGCGTTTCAAAATAGCTTCTACAAAGAAGGCACACTACAGATGGCCAGGCAGTCCCAAGTCTCAGCTGTGGTTGAGGCCATGAAGCTATGGGAGACTAGTGCGCTCAACCTCTCCCAGCCCTCCAAAGGCAGGCGTCGGGATGTAATGTAAGATTAGAGTTCACTGCGGGGGAGCAGCAGTTGGCATAATGGCTATGTCCTATATAGTTCAACTGCAGTTCAAGTCCCGGACCTGGTAGTTTAAACTCAAGCTGGGCATGTGTGCATGTGTATCCAAGATCTTGAGAGGAGAATGGAGGAGAAGGGATTGCGGCGTGGCCATCCCCCCTGGGGGGTGACTTCTAGCTTTCTGTCTCTCTGGTGAGCACATGCACCCTATAGCAAAAACCTCTCCAAAAAAAAAAAAAAGAGTTCACTGTGGGATCAGTAGATGGCATAATGGTTACATCGCTGGACGCCCATGTACTCAACCTCAATTCGAGTTCCACACCGGGCAGTCTTAAACTCACTTCAGGCACGTGTGTGTGTGCCCAAAATCCTGAGAGGAGAATGGAGGAGAAGGGATAGAGACAAGGTCATCTCCCAAGGGGCGGTTTCTGTCTCTCTGTCTTTCTGGTGAGCACATGCACCCTATAGCAAAAACCTCTGTTAAAAAAATAAATAGAGTTCACTGGGTTAGAGTTGAAGAAGGATGAAGGTAAGAATCAGGCTAAGAGAATGCTTTTCAGGACCCAGGATCATGAATTGTAGTTTAGATTTTCTTAGATCATTTCTAAGGATTTTCTACATCATTTAGACTCTTAGGATCTTAGAACTAGAAGAAAAATCAGAAATCATCTTGTCTGGTGTCATTTTATAGAGGGCCAGAGGGACAAGATAGCTCTCTTAATGCCACACTGGCATTTAGACATAGAACTAGGTCCCCCAACCCCTCTTTCCATTACATGCTGCCACACACTCACATGTGGAAGCACCCGGAGCTCCTACCTTTTAGCCCCTTCCTAAACCTAGACATGCCCTCGATTTGGAGTCAAGGCTCACAAAATAACAAGCACGA